GAGACTGGATGCACCTCAGGAGGCTGCACTTCGGCCAAGGCTGCCTGATCTTCAGCTCCAGCACCTTGCTCTTCTTTTTCTCCTTCTCTTTCTTCCTCCACTGCCACTAGCTCAACATCAAAGTCTGGAGGAAAGATAGTGCGTCCCTCTGCATCACGCTCCCACCTTAGAGTAATTTGAGGTCGGAAGTCAGCACAGAGACTCTCACCATCCTCCTCCACTCCTTTTTCTTGTTCCCCAAAGGTGACTGTTGTCACGTCCACCTCTGGGTACTGGGCCTTCACCTTCTTTCTATAGTCGGTGAAGGCCACGATTGCGGTTGGCAGCCGGTAGAGTTTGAGGATGTTCTCGAAGGTGCTGGAGTTGAGGAAGTTGCCAATGTGCTCCTCCATCCCGTTGTGAACCAGTACGTTCACGTTCTTCTTCAGCTCCGCTGCTCTTTTCCTCATGTTGTCCATGTATTTGTCTTGAGCCTCGAGCTTCTCCTCGCAAATCTTCCTCTTACGTTCTTCGAGGACAAGCTTCGTGCTCAGGACATCATTCTCGTTCTGGAGCTCAGTCACTGAAGGGAGAACTTCATCCAGCCTCCTCTGCATCTCCCTCTTCTCCTTCTCCCATTCCCCCTTCTCCTTCTGCAACTCATCCTTCTCCTTCTGCAGCTGCTCGCACTGCCTCTGCAAGCTGGCATGATCTCTCACGCTCTCTACATACTCCTGCGCTAGAGCGTTTGTCCAGCTCGCACTCTACAATGCAATCAGAAGTCAGACATCAGATACAGAGGTCGAAAAACTCAAACAAACAACCGAAGTAAATTTCAACTATTTCGCATACCTCTAGGGCGTGCCTCACAACAGTATATCCCATATGACTAACCACCTCGTCCTTCGCCTGCATCCTATCCCCCTCCGGAAGAGTAGCGTTGAGGAAGTGCTTCGCCCCAGTCGTGTTTGTTGCTTCGAACAAACTCTTATGGAACGAAGGTTGAGGAAAGGGCCCCTTGCCTCGGCCAAGACCTCGTACCACGGCCTCCTCCCTCTCCCTGTCTTCAGGATTGATTTCTGGAGGAGAAGGCCGAGGCACAAACTCCACTACCTCGTCCCCCCTGGTTTCTAGCTCTGCCACCCTCCTCTTCTTCCTCTAGAGCGGTGCCATCTCCTCACTTACATCCTCGCTTCCCCCCATCACAGGCTCCGGCCTTGGCTGCACCTCCACAGCTCGGGCAGAAGTGCTGGGCAGGCGCTCTTTCTCTGGCACCCCTTTGTTCGCTGCAGCTGAAGTCGTTGACTTCTTCCTTGGCTTCTTGGGGATGCGCAGTCCTCCAGCAGCACTTACAAAATCGTCCATCTCAGCTGCAAAGCAAAAACAAGTGTTAAAACACAATAGCTAGACATTCAAGTAAGTCATAGAGCTCAGCCATAGACATTCAAGTAAAACACAAAATCGTCCATCGCTCAATGAGCTTGGCCCATAGAGCTCAGCAGCTTCTATTGCCTTCGGACTGGTGAGGTACAAGATATCCACTACGTCTCCATCTTCCCTCACCAGCTTCTCCACCTCCTCCACCTCATCCTCATTCAACTTGTAGTTGTTCTGCTTGGTTTTCTTCGCTTTCCAAGCAGACAACTGTTCCACTTCGGCATCCCTCCTACTCCACTCGGTGTCATCCACAAAGAAGAATTTTTCTTTCCACCCTTTGATGGATGACGGTCCAGCAGAGAATAAACTCCTATTCCCTTTACTGGACGACCGAGGGCCGAAGTAGTACCACCCCTTCTCCCCCCTACCCCCAGCCCTTATTATAAAAAAATGTTTGAACATGTTTACTGTAGGGACTCCCACCCCCCGAACTCTGCAGTATACAAGAAAGCCTATTATTACCCTTATGGCATTCGGGGTTAATTGGTTTATTCCTATGCTGTAATCTAATAATAGCCCAACCAGTAATTCTAGAATGGGAAACCTAAGCCCTGCAATCAAATAATGCAGGTATATGGGCATCCAATGATCTCGGGGTGCTGAGCATGCCCTCTCATTCACCCCGGCAGGCCTGATTAGGACATGGTGATGAAGGTTACAGTTCCCTACTAACCCCCTAAGGCTACTCTTACTACCTAGTTCGCTCACATACCCCCTCACCTTAGACACTATCTCTAAGTCCGGGTCATAGCACCCATCTACGCCACCCCCAGATTCCAACACGTTTAAGGGGATCTCCTCTTCCTCCTCCTCTACTACTCCTTCATCCCTCCTCTCCTCCACCGTCCTCTCCGAACTCGTTGGAGACGGACTGCTCTCCGTATCCATACTACCATAATCCAGGGGCACCACTTCACTCCCCACTACACTCCTGGCCTCTTCTGAAGACATCTCAATTTCTGCATACAGGGGGAGGAGGAACGATGTCAGGACCCTTAACAATTCCAACACACTCAACACATTCTCACTCCCAACCCTAATTTCCTCCAAAGAACCCAAAATCAACCACAGAAATGGAGGAAGGAGGATAGCATTCCGGCAAAATCGAACTAAAGAATTCAAAATAGAAGTTAAAAATTTGTAAATTTTACCTGATTTTGATCTTAGGAAACTATTGTTGAAGTCTTGATCGAAGCACAAACCGCACGAAACCGCAGAAATTTAGCAGAAATTTCACAAGGGTGTACTAGCAAAATAACGAGAGTAAAAAAGTCCCCTTTTACAGAAGTGTAGCCTTTTATACCAAAGGCAAAATACGCTCCAACGGCCGTGATTAACTCAATCTAACGACTGCAGAGACACCGTTTCGAATTCGACGGTTAACAACTAAACGACACCGTTTCGATCTCGACGGTTCACTTTTCAAATCTACCCGTTGGAGTGTTGCAGTTATCTTTTACAGCGGCATTTATTACGCACGTCATTCAGAAGACAACTGTCGCGCCACGTGCCGCGTCTTAGTCAGTCTTCTCAGACGAGCCCACTTAAACCCATTTCAACTCTCTTTTCCACTTTTGTGCATTTTAAATTTTGGCAAGTGTTTCACTTCGGCAATCGACCTGATGGCTCCGGCCACAGTGACTCAGTGTCACATCCTTTACTTCGGCTACGGCCACAGTGACTCAGTGTCACACCTCTTACTTCGGCTACGGCCACAGTGACTCAGTGTCACA